TCCCGAGCACCACTGCCAAAATAACCGAGCAACAACTGCCAAAGCAGCAAACCAAGCCCACAAAAAGTAGCCTCGAAGTGACCTTCACTACCCATCATCAAACGCCGCAGGCAGACATCTTTCCAACGGAGCCAACGACTGTCACGAAAATGTATTCAACCCCTAGTATAAGACCACTTGGTGGTGCAGCCTCTACAACACCACGCCCTCAAGTTCAAATTACCGATAGCACCAAAATCCCGAATCTGGACCCTGCGGACGTCTACCATACGCTGGGCCAGAAAAACACGAAACTCGAGCAGGAGCAGGCGGCGCAGCAATCGCCCAAGCCACCAATGACCCTCAGCGATATCTTCAATAATCTAGCTGAGGAGGAGACAGCAGTTGCCAACAATTACCAGCAGAATCAGGGCTTTGACTCCCAGGGCAATTTGATTGAGCCGATTGCACCCTCTCAGCCTTCGCCATTTTCCATGCACTCCCCGCAGCAGCAGCAGCTGCAGCCACGTCCAACAGCGCTTCAGAACCAGAATGTTAATCAGGAAATGCACTCAGGTCCTCAATTCGGTAACGATCAGAAGGTAATCTCTGGCAATCCGGAAGGCTATGCCAACCAGTATGTTTCGTACCAGGTGCAGCAGCCAAACGTTATGCAGTACCGCCCAATGCCGGGCCAGATCAACAATGTGGTGATCTCGCCTGGACAGCAATCTGCATCCTTTGTGCTAGGAAGTCAGCAACAAGTCAGTCATCCGAGTAACTTTGGCAATGTGCAAAACGAGGAGCTCTTCTCGAAGGAAACGGGCAGTGTCCAATACGGCCAGGTCATCAATGAAGACATATCCAATGTGAACCGGCCACAGCCTCCCCATCAACAACACCAATTCCCATCGCCGCAGCAGCCAATTCCACCATATCAGCAACGACCAAGCTATCATCCAAACCCTCAATATCAATCGAACGCTAACGCTGCGCCAGCTGCTCCTGAGACTGCTCCAGCTGGAGCCGGAGGTGCGCCTGGCAGCTATCAAGAGTCGCCACCAGAGGCACCCTCTCCATATCAACAGCTGCCGCTGATAGGTTCGCCACCAGCAAAGAAACCAGCAACTAAAATGCCTGAGGCTGCTCTATCCACGGTATTGGCCAACGCAAACAGTCACCAACAGCAGCAGCAGCAGCCAACGATGCCAACGTCATCGCAATCTCAAGCCATGTCCAATAGCCAAGATACTAAGGATCTTTTGGTGTCTACCAATATTCGATTCCCATCCAATCACGAGGATTCGCTTGAGATGCCCTCTTCCGTCGCAGCTCCTGGTCCACCCAGCTCACCACATATCAATGGACATGCACAGCCGGTCAGTCTGCAGCAGCTGCAGCATGCCAATCCCGTGGTGTTCCCAAAGATCAGCGACGAGAAAGCGGCTGATTCTAATGTTCAAATCCAACAGCACGAAGTCGTCAACATCAATCAGCACGAACAGCAACTGGTAAATTGAAATTATAATTACGAACAGGTATATACTTAGATCAATTGAATCTATTTTGCAGAAATTTCCAACACAGCAGCCGAGCAAAACTGAACAGCCATCACAGGAGATGGTGCCGCCGCCTCGCTACGAAGCATTGCATAATTCCCAGGGCCATTTAACTGCAGGAATCCGCCCAAGCGATCCACCAACGTCGCCGTTCTACAAGGAGTTCGACCGCAAGCCTCAGCATCCCACGGGTCCACGTCCCAACGGAAACCTGCCAAACATTCTACCACAGTTCCGACCCAATGCAAAGATCTCCAGTGGCCATCCTTCACATATGAAACATGAGCCCGGAAATCTTCGTCTGCCTACGCATGGAATGAAGATGCCCTACAATCCATCGACTCAGCCACAGTTTTCTAATCGGCGTCAGCCGATGCATCAGCCACAATTGCAAAGTCGTTATCCCATGAACCGCATTTCGGAATATGACCAGCACGTTGGTAATCCACATGCTCCGGGGGCTGTTAACAGACGAGTCTATCGATTGCCACCCAGTGGTGGCCACAGAGCGCCACAGTTGCGGGATCGCATGTACGCACGTCGACCCACCGGTCCATTGCGAGCGATCGATAATTATTACCCAGTTGAGCGGCACGCCCCAATTACCCCACAGCCCTTGAAGATGAATCCTGGCGATCTAGATTATGAAGAGGAAGATCTGGTTATCAATGACCCACCACAGGCACCGAGCAAGGATATCCAAAATACGAATGAATCCAAGCTAGAGGCAGTTGTGACATTGCAAATGCTGCAGTCGCAGAAGAAACCGCTGAATGGTGAAGATACTGGAGCCGGTGAAATTCAAGTGACAGCCGAGAACAATCCCCAAGAAACATTGGCGACCACGGCAATCGAGCAGAAGTTCAAATTTGAAAGTGAAGCAAGTGCGAATGAAAAAAGGGATACGATGTTGCATCAAGATTCGTCAGCTGCTGGCACCGTGGAATACCAGAATACGCCCTTTTCCGTAGTTCGTGAACAGCCGCAAGAGCCCATTCTGAAGAACAAGAAGCCCCAGTCCCTTCAGCAGCAGGCGAAACTGCAGCCACTGCACAAACAGAAGTTTCCATATCCGATAGAAAAGCCAGACGCCGCATACACCGAGCTGCAGCCACTGCGGCAGCCTGTGCCAGGCGTCCTAGTTGCACCACGTATCATCACAAGCTCCTTCAATACCGGAACCGAAGCACCCATCGCGATAGCATATACACCGACTGAGCCAAACCCGTTCATTCACAACGGACCGATGAAATTGGATCAGAAACTCTTCAGCGGAAAATACGGTGTAAACGAAATGGGCCCTGAAACCCAAACCGAGGAAGTTTTGGGCAACGACTTTGACTTGCGTGGGCACAACTTCGAGAAAAACTTCATGGCGCCCTTTTATCCAAGCGTGAGTTTGGGTGGCGCCAGCAGCGGAGTGAGTGAAATGGCCAATCCTGCTCTAAGCAATTGGAAGATTGTACAATCAGCCTCAAGCGAAAAGGTTTACGAAAAAAATAATATCAATCGTGCCGATGTTGAGCCCAGTGCATATAAAAAGGAAAAGGAACCCGAGAACTCCACTGATGTTACGACTGAAAAGCATTCGGATTTGGATAGCTTCCAGCCCCAATTGCAAGGCGGCTTCAAACCAATTTTCCCAGCTAACTACATGAAATCTGAAGGCGAAGCAAAGGACGAAAATGTTGAGCTAAGCGAAAACAATAATAATAAACCCATGGCACTGGCACTGATCAGATCGCAGCCTACAAAGCCTTCAATTGTAAGTACAGTGACGTCAATCTCGTCTATGTCTTCTGACAGTAGCACAGCTCCTGCAACATCATCATCGTCATCATCAACGACAACAACAACAGCGAAAATGCCAACAGCTAAAGTTGACGGTGACGCTGCGTCAGTGGCGACATCAACAAACGCACCCGTAATCAAGAGCGAGCCCACGAAGCATAAGAAATCAACATTTGAAACAAGTCTCGCTGCTCTGCTTTTCGGCGACGATGAGGAACTGGAGGATGGAGCCCGAAAATCTCCCAAGAAAGAAAACACACCAGCTCGGCCAATAAATGTAGCCCGGATGGGTCCTCGAAGTCTAGCATTTAGTTAAGTGTTTTAACGCATAATTTACTTCGTTTAGAAAAATTATAGTTTGTATTATTTATTAAAAATGTATAAAGCTTGTGAGCGAATCTTGTAAAATTGCGTAATTACAGCTGATCATTAGTCGTAAGCTCACACCATGCTACACGCTAGCCACCAATGAAGATACACTTAAGACTTTTGCGAGTCTGATTTGAAATATTCTTGATTTCTTATTGGACTCCCGAATCGTCGCTATCGAATTACAAGCATGTATTCCAATCTACATACGTACAAACCTCTTTAATACTTACATAAACCGATGCGCATAAATATTTATTATATTTTTATTTATTCATAATAATAAAAATATGAATATACATTAACAAAACAATCCAAAACACTTTTGACATTGTGAAATTACATCGTAATTATGGGTATTAATGGTTTTAACAGATTGTCATTGCCTTTTAAAATTTAATAAATTCGAAGAGAATAAAATATTTGAATATATTTTTATTTGCCTTTGGAAATATATAATTCGACTATCATTAATTTTAACAGCGAAGTTCTCTGTGTTTAGAAAAATTCAATACGCTTTGAAGTAATAATATGCAAATCTAGTACATGAATTTTTTTCATTTAAATTTTAAGAAACAAAATAGGGGGAAACCATTAGCAAAAAATAATTAAAAATATTTATTTGTTTGCTTGCTTAAACATTTTTGGCGCCCCATTTAAAAAGAATATAATATACATATTTTAATCGATAGTGCACAGCTCGTAGTTGCTCATCACAAAGAGCAGAAAGTCATCGATTGTAATTGTAAAATTATCATCAAGAACTTTCGATAATAGTGTTACCATTATTTTAAATTATTATTGTGTATATTTACGTGTTACACCCTCTAAAAACTGGACCCACCTTTAATATACGAGGAAAATGAGTCCAATAAGCGCCAACATAAGCAATGGTGATAAAACCCACGAAGTATCATTTTGCCATTAAGTATCGATACCATTGCTTAGTAGTATGAGGTTACGCATTAGAAAAGTACGTAGTTGAGCATCGTTATAAGTGACGTCGAGCAACTTATAAGCTAAAAGATATTTCCTCTACTCTGCCTTTTTTGCACTCGTACAACTTTGTTCTATTACAACTTTATTAAATGTAAAAATTATCATAATAAAAACTCGTTAATCAATAACGCATTCAATAAATGCGTGCACCTTGTACAACATTTTTATATATATGTAACATTTAAACTTGAACATTTTACTTGTTACAGACTCTTAAATATATCTTACAATCGATATACTCCTTATAGTTTAAGTTGTTATTAGCATATGATAGGTCAAAGTTATCAAAATGTGTTCGGGCAGTCAAACTAAAAATTGAAAAAATATTCCTTACATTAAAACTTACTTAAGTATGATTCCTAGCGTAATGTTATCGATATTTACAAAGTAAATAAACTACACCTTCGCTAAATATCCACATATTTCATTTCTGTGTCCGACTCTCGAATCAGAACCAATTGTTCCAATCGTTCAATACGCAGCAGCATATCCTCTTTTTCCTTCTGCATTACATCAACACGACGCCTTAGCTCCTCATTGTGCCGTCGCAGCTCGTGCACCTGTCGACAGATTTCTGTGGATGTTGGCAACTGCATAACGTTGGGGCCTTTCGTAGTATTGAACTCATTTCCAGTGCGCAGATTTGTGCGCATCGTTGTATTTGGTGAAGATTTATTAACAATGCCATTGTTAGTAGCGCCGACAGCAGTTCCGGCTGCTGGAGAAGGGCGCAGTTGAATAGTCTGCACAGTGCCCACTTGCCCCCGCATCGTGCTCGTTGTTGCGGGATTGTGTGTTGCCGATGGGACTATGACTTCGTTCTGTACTTGCTGCTGATCATCAATAGCACTACTATCAACGGATCTGGGCACTGAGGGTAATTTCAACTAAACAGAATAGAGAATAGATCTTGTTAAAACATATTTGTCGTCATGGCACAAGGTTAAAACAAACCTGACGAGTTTGTATCTGTCGCATATTAACCAATTTGGTACCATCAGCAAGTTGGCGTACGACTCCAGAGCTAGAAATGTAATCAATCAATAAATACAAACAATGCACGTCTGTAACCAGACTTACCTTGCTAAGGTTGCAGGTATTTTCTGAAGGGATTTTGGTTGATCGCAAAGTTTTTTGAAGTCAGTCAGCGATATTATTCTTATATTCTGTTTAAAGAGATAGTTATATATATTTATTCCGATAAATTCTCTGTTGGCAACTAGCCAAAAGCTGTGAAGAACACACCTTGTTTTTCGTAACACCACCTGATGAACTTGCTGACGATGATGACTCCTTCTGTTTGATAACATTCATACGAATTTTTTGTGGGGAAGAATTGAGAGTTGTTTGATTTATACTGGGATGCTGCACACTGACTGCGCTGTTTCTTAAACTATTGTTTATAGATCCATTTGTACTATGTTTGACATTGGAGCCGCGGTTTGTTTCATGTAACAACATACGCCCGCCCTCAGAGAGCACCAGTTGTCGACCATTTCGAAGTGCGGTGTTTAACATCTTTTTCGAAGCTTCGTCGTCTACAATAGCCAATGTATATATTCAAAGAACTATGTTATCTTGATATCAGCTATATATTACCTATTTGATTGTCCTGCATCATGTCTGCAATGCCATGCGTCTTGAGCATATTTAAGGCAGAGTTTCCCAGCATATTTGTATCTATCCAAACAAGAAAATCAATAATTTAGTTATGACAAACAGTTAAAAACAACTTACGGCCGCGCAACGTCTCTAGAACATCCATCTTATCCTCAACCGACATGTCGGCGTCGTCAAGGCTTCGTATTGACTTAGACTCATCCATAATAGAATTAACTGCTTCACTGGTTTCTTTCTAGAAAAATTAGTCAAAGCATTTGTACTTATAATATGTTTCAACTTTTTAAAAAATATTTATGTAATTAAGTTATATCTGGATTCACATATGTTTCAAAGATATTTAAACTTAACGTACTTTAATATTGCGTGCTCTTTGCTGTGGTAAGCCGTGGGGAACAATGAGACAATGTAAATATATATTGCTCGATTCTCAAATTAATCCTGAGCAGTCTCAAGTTTAAAATTGAGTCCATAATCGACTTACCTCCGTCTCTTCGTTAAATTTACGGCTGGCTTGGGATTGGCGCGCCGCTTCGAGCTCCGCTAAGATATCTGCCTGCTCTGTTAATACGGCCAGGGCGATGGGGGTCTTCCCAAACTTGGAGACTAGCGTTACATCTGCATGACTCTTTAATAGCATGCGAACAATACTTTTGTGCTTCTTCTCCACAGCCCAGTGCAGGGGTGTCATGCGAAGCTTTGCAAAATAATAATCTCAGTTCAATAGAAGGAAAATACTATGAATTCCAAAGCTGGTGCTCACCATATCCCGTGCGTTTACAGCACACCGTAGGGTTAGCAACAGGTTTACAATCCGCTCGTGTCCAAAATAGCAGGCTAGATGCAGTGGAGTTCGGTCTACTTTTGTCTTCGCCTCCATGTTGATCCCGCCTTGCAAGAGAATTTCACAGATTTCCAGTTGATTGTTCATCGCAGCAAAGTGAAGTGCTGACATGCCCAGCTAAAAATTAGAAGATTGCAGCTATAGTAATAATTTTATGATTGTTTTTGCCTTACCCAGTCCGACACAAACGGGGCGCCATGTGCAAGGGCAGCTTTCACACCGGGAACGTCACTGTCTCGCGCACATTGCAAGAGCTGCTTCCCCAAGTCAACGACAGTTGTTGGCCCGTGCGTGCTACCCTTCTTTAACAGAAGCTCACCCTCGGTCCGCTACAATTACAACATACATAAGTTAATTTCATAGTTCGGAGACTTCTACACATGTATTAATACTTACAATTTCATAATTCAACAAATTGGATAGCTGCTGGTTCAAGGATTGAGCCTCCATTGCCACACTGCCATCGGCGCGCAATGTGGCCACAACTTTGCTACTCCCCGTAGCTCCAGCTACGCTGTGCATTTTAGCAAGCAAGAACTTTTAGTGACACAAGTGACGCTCCAATAACATTACTATTTGTCAATATTTATGGTAAGGCACAACAAACGCTAATAATTTATAATGATCATCTGTATATACGCGAGAGTGAGAGAATACGATCACCCATTTGTTGATCTTATATCGATATGAATATCGATGTTTAAAGCGTCCTCTAATTTCAGCTCTTGTTTTCTTACTAAACATTGGCATCCACTTACTTAACATAGCGTCCGACCCTATGCTAACTTATTACTGGATTACATATCAGTATTTGGTTATCGATAAATATTAAAATCAACTCTATTTAAATACTTGCAAGTTGCAACTTGCATTGGCACCGATTAATGTGACGACGTTTAAGCAGAGAAACGTAACGGAAATAGGAGTAGTTAAACTTATAATTCTAAAATAATACTTGGTTGATAAAATACAATGTCAATGAGAAAAATGGGTTCCATCATTATGGTACATAATATATTTTATATGCATCCAAAAAGAGGATACAGCGCACAAAATATAAACAATATAAGAAAAGGAAGCTACATATTACTATTTGCTAAAACATTTTTAATATATATTAATTGTTTGGAGTTCATATATATTGCATTTTCGGGTACAAATTTTGCGGTTACTATAATATCTCTGATTGTATATAAATAATAATGTATAAAACGATAACTAAGCATAAGAAATATCGGTCTCTGCTTCGGCAAGCGTGATGTTTGAATTACGGGTCGGTTGAATCTGTTTTGGTGGCACATTCGCCACGGCGGCATCGCAATTGGAATCACTTGGTTTTCGAAACCATCTGATGAATGGAAGACGGTGGAGCAATTTGACAGATTTTTCCAAAATACCCTTTCCAGTTCCACTGCTGGTACTGGGAATATCATCGTTCCGTTCTGTTCTTTTGGATCGTATGTCAACATGATGAGTTGATTGGTTCGGAAAGTGGGTCGCATTGCACTCGAATAGGTCACAATATTCGTTGACTTGTTGCTCGTCCTTGAACTCAATCCTTTTTATCTCTGACACATTCAACGTTAGGCCACAAAATGTTCGCTCTAGGGCGAGCGAATTAAGAAATATATACTTACGGAGGGTGGTCGCAAAACTAAAGTCGTACCATTTATTTCGCGATCTGCAGTAGATACGTATTGCATTTTTTACTGTGTGCAAACCGAATTTGGCGCCATCTCGCATGTTCACAATGGTGCAACAGTCCAAAAGCAGGCGACCCTTATAGACAAAGTTCCTGCGCTTAATGAAATCTCGCTTGCAATAGACCAGTTGTCTATCGAAAATGATCAGGATATATCTGCAGTTCCACAGATTGTGCTTTAATCGTTTGGCGTCGGCTTGAAGGAAAAAACGCGTGCTAAACAGGTGAAGGGGAAGTCCTTTAAAGTTCTGCAAGCTGTCCTGATACCCTGCAATGATCTCGCTGTGGCGCCTGCCCTCGTTTACAGCTTCTATGACAACCCGCATCTTCTGCAGCGCCATGTTAACGGTTGCGTGCGTATCAGGTACATTATGCTGGATCAGGTCGACATGTTCATAGTTCAATTGATTACTCTCTGCTCCCGTTTCGTTTGTGCTGCTGTCTATCATTAACTTCTTCAAATGGAGTGGATAGCGGCAGATGCGCTGGACGGGCGCCAACAGATGTGCCGAGAGAGGTAGTTGACCCAAGCAACAACTTTTGAGTCATGAATGAAGCACAATTAATAACAATTCAATTAATTGGTCTACTTACTTACCTCTCAAGTAGGATTCGCGCGTCTTTATCATCCCGGTAAGATGCAAGCTCTGCTACAGCTCGTGTGTAGGCATTACAATACGTGGAATAACATAGGAATCCTTTATGCTGGTTGTATAAAATTCCCTTTTTGACATAATTACAGTATTTTAGAGAACATACTCACCATACTTAGAAACACTTTTGCTATTTGATTCTGTTCAACGCCTTTCCGCAGGGCCTCCAAGAAGACTTGATGAAACCTGTATATGGATGTGATATTTGAAAAGATGATGTCTATGCTGTCTCTTGGGAAGATATTTGTATGACTTCTCATGGCTGGCAAAAAGCTGAGTAATGGACAATCAATGCGATGTTATTTTGATTTTTCATTGCTCGTTTTCATTCGTTGCTCACCCATCGCAAATAACTGACAAAACTTTCACGTAATTGATTTCAGTTTCCAGCAATTCTCTAATCGCTGCCTGCCGTAATGCGTTAAATTCATTATCCTCAGGCTGCGCACTATGTGTTTTGTTGCTACTGTTGCCCATCGTGCTGTCGTTGGTGTTTACACTGTTGCTCTTCGATTCACCAAGGAAAAGAGGCGCTTGGGTTGCTGCCAGGTTACAATCATCCGCCGGACCCTCTGACATCTTCAAATGTAAAAGACCGAATAATTTGCTACCCTATTTTCCCTCTAAAATATTGTGATGCTTTCCCGGTCCTGCTCTAGCCCCAGATCTAGCTGCAGCTATTGCGGACCAGTCGCAACGAGACTCTGCAGCGCTTCCGCACAAAAGCATTTGCAGCTGGTTGCTGTAGGACAAGTTGATGTGCATTAGTAACTTATGTCTCACCGAACAATTAACGTCGATTTCAGTGATTACGAATACACTTGACGAGTTCTTTACCTATATTACATATTTGACCAATTTAAAACCAAATTTTGATGGATTTCTGAAAGTTTAAATTTGAAATATAAATCTTTCGCTAAATTATAAAAAAATAAATAAAATGATGTATGTAGAAAATTATCAATTCCAGACTATATCACAGATATAGTTAAACATACATTATTGGTTATTAGTTGAGCTAATGCTGAAAATTAACATATCTTAAATTTTAATATTGCAATATATATATTTCATTTTCATTTCATTTATGTGTCATTTTCAGTTTATTGAATGATTTTAATCCAGACGCACAGACCGAGGACGCTTGGGAAATATATTCTACGAAAAAAATTACGAAAGTCGCAAAATATTTTCCTATGACACCTTCAAATATATACCTTTTTATTAAAAATGTGTATTATAGTGAATGTTAAAGTTAAAATTTGTTAAATGGACTCTGAGAAGTGGAAATTAAAATTACAAAATTTTCTAAAAAATACAAGAAGAAAGATATCTTTTTTTATTCCCCTTGATCACCATGTCGTAAAATGTATAGAGACTCAGAAAAAAGTAAAAGTTTGTTTTTATAATTTTGGGTATTTTCATGTTTATTAATAATTTTATAATGTAATTTAGAGATGTTGAATATGTTGTATATTCAGTACAGTGGTCGCAAAATTATAAACGCGTGACAGAATTTTTATTAGTGCTATTATTTACTAATATCGGTCACTTCATTATTTGCGAAAAACTTTTAAATAAATTCTGATTTGGAAAAATTTATTGTATCCGAAGACTCCCACTTATTCGGCAACCTGTGCTACATTTCAAATCAATTATAATTCACAAGCGATCACTGTAGCTATATTTATTGTTGATCGAGTTTATTAAATAAATTTGTAGAAAAATGCAACTTTTATTTTTTTTTTAAATATCTTTAGCTAAATTTTTGATTTTATATTAGGTAATTATAATTATCATACAAGTAGTCTGTATTATTTAAGCCATACATATGAGTACTGTATAATTGTGTGTTGACATACACAAGATTGAAATAAACACTTTGAGTGCCTAACTATGTTTTTAAGTTTAGTTGAATTTAATTTGATTTTTGCTTTCGTATCGCTTAGTTACTATAAAGTAAGAAAAATGTTTCGATTAACTACGTGTATATATAAATCTATATAGAACATTTACACATATGCGGAATTTGGAGGGCAAAAGCGAAAGAATATTTAAATCCCATTATACTATATATTTATTTTTGTTTCTTTATAAATAAATTGATGTCTGTATTGTTGGAAAGTATTAAGTTGATTCAATTATGATTAAAAACCCGATTAATGTTGGAATTTCAATTTTTAATTACTCATATATACGAATAGTAAATTTGCTGCATAATTATGTGAGTAGTAGAGCGAATGAATTATATTGTGCAGATGTAATAGTTTCTTTTAAAATTAGTTTGCGTGGCGACTTACAATATTTTCTAATTACAGTCATAAGATCTTAAATATATACAAGTCGATGATTATCATGTATGTTTTCTTTATGAAATGCAATGCAATGCAAGACCGAAACACGGCTGACAGACGAATACAGTCAATGACATTTACACTTTTGCTTAAAAGCTAGACAACATTCACTTTGGCCTAACATAATATAATAGAATAATAACATTACCACAACGCATTATTAACGATTCTGGCTACAATAACAGTTGTTGTTTGTTTTTATATACATATATATAAAATTTTTTAAACATACTTTTGGTTTATCAGATCGGCATTTTAGAACACAAGATTATTAATCAATTCATAAGCTTAGATTTTCATAAAAAACCGTTCTCACAATATGCCATTCGTATAATATTGATACCCATCGTAAAGCTTGGTCGATAAACTTTTCAGAGAGTCCTGCACAAGTTGTTCCACCTTGCGTTCCATTTCCTGCTCAGTTAAATTCATATGAAAACGTTTACGGAGATTCTGTACGGTGCCGGAGCAGCCATTCTTGAAGCACGGCAGCTGTGCATCTAAAAGGTAAATTAGAAACAATTATTTTACAATGCTTTCAAACAAACAGATTTGTCTACATACTGCTGCGCATAATTTCCACAAAATTTATAATGCGATCCATGTGTTTGCGCGCAGACATCATGCCGACGAGCAGTAAACGATTAAACTCCCGCCAATGTTCTGACCCGGTTCCGCCCATAACATCGACAAATTCGTGTGTAAGTTTAAATGGTGATTGCTCAAAGCCTGCATCAATAAATTAAAATTAACATTTCTTTTACGATTGGGGAATATGTCTGATACGTACCCAAATTTTTGGGAGATATGCTTAGTATGAATCCGAAGTCTATATGTATTATATGACCATCCGCATGAAAGAGTATATTGCCATTGTGCCTATGGAACGTAAAAAACAAGTCAGCATACAAACAACCCTTTCCATAACATATACGAAACTCACCTGTCCTTAACTTGCAGCAGGTAGGATATAAGGCAATAAGCCGCACAGCTCTGCACGAAATTCTTTTGGGCTTGACGAAAACGTTCGCCAGTTGGAGGTCCATATTCATCGATAAAGTAATCGCGCAAAGATTTGTTTGAGTTCTTTTTGATTTGATGCAACGACACGGTGTTCAGAATAGGCTCAATCAAACCACTGTCATTCGAGAGGCATATTATTTTATATGACCGCACCCATAGATCGACATGCTCCTCCTCCCAGATGATCTTAAACATCTGCATAAAAAGTCTACGATGTACTCAAAGTTTATGATCTACGCTTAGGGATCACGTACCTGCAGGAGTTGCGTTGCCATCAGTTCTTGGCGCAAATCATCTCCACACTTCACAATAGCAGACAACAGACGCCAGTTAGATAGATGACCGTACGGGGAGGATTCCCGAATGAGTTTCTCCTTTTCATGCCAAGGCTCCTACAATGAAAATAGATTAGACAAGCTAGTTGAGCTAATAATTTCCGGTCACACAAACCTTTAATGCAGCCGCGGATGGATCCTCCGGATCATTGCTGAACGACTTTGTGTTCTCGCAGTTCAAATTGTTGCAGTGTCGCGTGCGTACATCGCCAATATTAAAGACAATTGGGGGACCTGTAAATAAGAAATTAGTATATTAGTAAAGATAATCTAGGCTTCACAATAATATATACATACCTTGATCTCTGGAGTCGCACGAGTCCATTGACATCTGGGAGATGGCGTCGCGTTCACTGACCTTGCTCATGTATAGATATTGCGCGGTGATCTGGTCATCTTCCTGAGACCACACATCATCCTCGTGGACCTGGAGACCACCCAGTGAGAGCAAGCGGCTGTTGTTACCGCTGCAACAATTGTTACTGGCCGGCTCACCACATCCGTTTTCTGCATGCGATTCCGTATCTTTTTTGCGTCGACAACTGGATCCATGATGAGTGCTACTACAGGTGGAGGTCCGGCTGCAGCCCTGGTGCGTATTCAGGCAAGTGCCCTCCAAGTGTTCTTCGCTCTTGGTGTGCCGCAGTGATGGCATTAGCTTGGGTATCAGTGGCGAAGTGTAAATATCTGGCACTTCTACTACTTCCACGTATATGATGTACGGGGTTTTGTCCTTGGAGTTTAGCACTGCAGTCTTTTCCTCTGTGATGCGCACGACATGGTGTGGAGTATCCGAGTAGAGCGGCAGCCAGACACGGGCGGGCAAGTTTTTATTTATCAGGTTAAGGAACATTCGCAGGGCCGACGTCTTCTCCGCCTTTGAAGGCAGCGAGATTAGATTCTTTCCCACATTCATGAGGGCCTTCATGAACTCCTTTTGCGGTGCTGTCTTGGGTGCACCGCAATTGCAGAGTGTACGCTGTCCTAGCAGTCCGTTCACCTGCCCACGGACTGTCTCGAAGCAAGTGCAGCCATTGTCGAATGCCAATCCCGAGGTCAGATCGCCGAGGAAGAGTTTCGCAGGAGCTGTGGGCAGCGTTTGCGTGGTGTACGGCGGCTGTTGGTACATCCTATGCGATATGCTGAGCGTGTGGGGGCTGCGTGAGTCGGCGAGCAGCACTGTGGCATCTGACTGAGAGCGATGATGAGTTTTCTTTGCGAGAGCAACGGCTGGGGTCTGTATGCTATCGGGCCTCGCTGGTTGTTTGCTCTCCTTCTTGGGAAATATCTCTTTCATTAGCGCCAGCTTGGACTTCCGACTGGTGCTTCCGTTGCCCAGTGAGTCCACTTGATAGTTGTACGCCTCCAGCAGCCAGAAGCACTTTAGGGAAAAGTCAACGGACTTCCGGCAGCGTATGGTGAGATATGGATCTAGAACTTCGGCCAGTTCGTCCATTTGAATGTACATTAATATCAGCTGCGGTATATAGAGATCTACTTCCTGGTCGGGGAAACTGAAGATCTTATTGCCAATAAAACTCAGAACGCCCGGCTCCTTCGAGTAGAACAAGTAGTGGACAGCAAAGTGAATATTAAATACGGGCGATTCGAAAAATCGCAATAGCCCGCTGGGACCTCGCTCATAATTTTGCTGGGGACACGTAGTGGGCGCTCGGTCGCTGATGAAATACTTCACAACGCCAGGCACTGGCATCTTCAGTTGGTGCAGAGAACTGATGGAGGAGCTCTTCCGCATCGTGACATCGTGACCGACTTCAGTCTCTGCGCCGGGCAGACGCAGATTCAAGGTGAGCTCCTTCATCTTCACATCTGTGGCAGCCTCTGTGGGCACATCGGCTGTGGATGAGGTTGTGGGAGTTGTTGTTGTACTAGCAACTGCTGCTGCAGCGGCAGCAGCAGCCTTCTTGCTGGAATTGGAGCTGAGCAGGCTGAAGAACTCCTTCTTTTTGGAAATATCCGTGGGGGACTTGACCAGATCCTGCGCTACTTGCTCAACATTATGTGGCGCTGTATTCGTCAAAGCTTTCACCTTTAAGACGTCTTGTTGCTCACCAGTTTTCTGCTTGGCCGCATTTTTTTTCTCATGGTTCTCAATTATGCTTTGAGCGGTGCGGAAAATTGCATTCTTAGTGGCGCCGAAAAAGTTCTTGAAGAGCACTTGATCGTTCTTGGCACTCTCAGTGGGCGTGGCCACAGGTGTGGGTGTTCCTGCTGGTGTGGCTGTGGGTGTTGTTGTAGCTACGGCTGCTGCTGCTGTCACATTGTTGTTGGACAGTGTGTGTGGTGTGGGCAATGCATCGGGCTCATTCTCAAGCTCGACCCTCGATGGCTCGTCGGGCACCACGCCCACGCACATGTTCATTACACGATAACGTATATGATCGACCTCATCACGCTGTTCCTGATCCTGCTGCTGCTGCTGCTGTTGTTGTTGTTGTGCTGCCTGCTTGGCTTCTTCTCGCTTTTGCTGCTTTTGCTTGCGCGAGGGTCGCAATGTACGGCAGTCGAAGTCGTTGGCGGCATGCGACGGAAAGAAGTAAAGGTCCGATTCCATTAGATTGTAGTCCTCGTCCATAGACGTCGTGTCCAACATGTCTATGCATTCCTCCTCGGCATCTGCTTCTGCGTCCGCATCGGCATCCATTTCACCCGAATCAAGAGACTCATGGGAATGGCAGATGCGATTTAGGGATATCTGGTCTGACTCTGAGCCACATATAATACCTACCGAGATGAAGGAAGAAGGTATGCAAACAATTAATATCGCTTCACGTTCAATCAAAAATAAATTCGTTCCATTTGGAGATATCTACAAATATTGAAATTGGCCTACCGGAATCATCCGAGCCGAGGCTAGTTAGATCCTCACGCTTTTTGTAGCTACCAGCTCTGCTGCAGCTATTGCTGCTTCCAGCATTCCCATCGACCATATCCTGGGCGCCCAAGGTCCCCAGCTCATTCGACTTGGGTCGTGATCGCAATGTTGGACAGGATTCAACTTTAATATCCAAAAAGAAAATTTTTTAGAGCAAGAGAATTTGGATGCCAACTGACTTTAAATACTTACTAACTCCATTGGGCACAGGTTGATTCCGTTGCGCATGGACTGTGACTGCAGATGTGGGCGTGTCCGTGACCGGCCGGTCAGTAATAACTGTTCCGGACCCAGACGCTGCATCATTGCATTGGGCAATCGTTAGGGCTGGCATTGGGGGGGATGTGGCAAGTGCGGCCGTTACACTGGCCGCTGTTGTTGCGATTCTCGAGCACATATTCGTGCTGAGTATTGTTGTTGGTGAACAAAATGTAGTCTCACTCTCGGCATTGGGCGAGGAGATCTCGACCTGTAGGTGTAAAAATGTTCAGTTAGCACATTAACTTGTCGACAAAAGCATTTTCTGTTTTCGACAGCCTCCCAAACTCAAGTGGCAAATGAAAATTCAAATATGTGGCACACTCATACTCTCTCTTCAAATATTGCAGTTGAATGGAATACGAATCGCTGCTCAAAAGTTGGTTCGTGACACGAACTCGCACTAACCAACTATCTAACTAAAAGTGATTTCGAGTTGCGACACGACATGCAAAAAGTAGGAGCTGAACACGAGTCGTGCTCAATCTTGCTCGAGAACGACACGTATCAAAATTATTCTAAGACAACGAAAGCTCTCCGTCTCCGTCTCTCCCCGTTTGGGCCACAATGTGGTTGTTTGCTTTGTTGCTATTATTATCAGTGCTCCTGATAAACAAAAATATAAACATATCTACAGAGAGAGTGCAAAAATATAAATATTCCTTAACAGATTGTATGAAACAGCGCGAATCCAAACAGAACTGATATAAACAGACACACTCACACCCCCACACACAATATGTGTAACAATCTCCAAATCAACGTGAGAATTAGGCGGGCCTCTCACAGTGATTCATGTAGAGTCCACATGTCCAATTACTCACCTCTGGTATGCGCTGCAAGGCACTGTCGAGACTTCGATTGCGATGATGTTGTGTGTGATTTATGCGAGTGTTGGTCACTTGAGAAACAGGTGGCAGCATTATGCCCATCGATCTGGAAGTGAAGGAAAATCCAATTAATTAGGGACAAATGAGAAAAATCAATTAAGCCCTTGTCGGTGCCGTATCGCACTGCCAGCAGCTGTAATCATTGCTAAACAACAAGTAAACTGAACTCAAAACGAACTCGAAACGAACTCAAGCGCCAGCAGCAGAGAACCTGCTTCCAAATACATATGTTCAATAGACGTTTGCACTCACAACACGGCAACAATATTAAGGTAATTGCTTTCATACTACAATCGCCCACATCGACGTGCTCGGTAGGAGGGAAGGAGGCTTATAAAACAATGCCTGCTCAAATAAAATATCAATTTTTAGTAGGTAAAGTTAGAGCAGAAAGAAAACAATGACAATGAGTCTCCAGTCTGGTTGAGCTGACTAACAAATACCCTCTGTGCACTTTACTAGGAAATTTACTTACATATACATATTCAACATTACTTGCAAATATTTATCGATCTACTATACTATATATATACTATACTATAGTTATATGCATGGGTAACATAATAATTTATATTATTAAGGTTTATATATTCAGTACATTCGGTTACAATCCCAAATATATGTAATTTTGGTTAAATACTCTATGTAGCTCCGTCTGCATTTGAAACACATTACCTTTGTGGTAATTCCAATTATATATAAAAATATTATAAAA